GTGACAGATGCCTGGGCCGAGGAGGGGAGGCCGGGCGAGGGAGTCAGCTCACACCGTCGTCGCTGCCCCGTTACAGGGCTGCTGCTGCTACTTCCGTGATGACCGTGCGGCTGCACACTCACGGGCGCCCCTTGTACCCCAAGAATTCTAGGAGGACAGGAGCAGACGCTCACTGTTGGGCTCCTTAAGTCGGCAGGGGATGCGGCGGAAAGAAGATGGGTGTTGTCTCTCTAGATGGGTCCTGTGTAATTAATTAGGCCGCACGAGGGAAGGGGATGAACGAGGCCTGTCGAAAGGCCTGTCCCACAGAACAACACGCGCACAGACAGACAGCAAGGGCAGCGCACCTGCCAAGCTGTCGCTGTCATGAATAACAACGTTCCGCGGACTTGGACCCCTGACTAGGACGTGGTCTGCACACATCCCTGCTCCATGGCACAGCCCTGGGTGCACACTCAGGACGTCTGGAGCGCTGGCCGGGCCCTTCCGTGGCAGGTGTGGAAAGATACAAACCACCTCTTTCTCCCGCCAGAGTAGTCCTGCAGTCCCACACCTCTTCCTCACCATCTGTCTGTCTGTCTGTCTGTCTGTCTCCTCCCTGCCCCACCACACACACACATTTTTACACTGCTCCACCTGTCTAGTTCCCGAAGTAGTTCCAGCCTCTCTTTACATCAGTTGTGAGCCGAGAAGGACTCTGACCACGTGCATGTCACTGGATGCGCTTTAAGAATGAAAGCCGAGGGCCGGGGATTTAGCTCAGTGGTTCCGCCCCCTGCCCCAAGAGCACAAGAACCCAAGTTCCTTCCCCGGTACCAAAACTAAATAAATATAAAGTATGAAAGCCAAGCACTTTGATGTTAAATTCATCACAGTAAAGGGCTAGTATTAAATCTCTAAGTGCCAATCTCAAAGAAAGAGAAGACACGCACCTGCCTCTCAAGCACAAGGTCCTGAGTTCAATCCCTAGTACCACAAAACAAAGACAGACAATTAGGGCAGAGAATGTGCTTCCTATTTTCTACTGCTTCATAGTCTGACTTTCTTTAGCCTTGCCCATATGTTACTTTCATGATATTTTTGTTTCATTTTAAAAAACTATCTTTATGGTGATAGAATTTATTTGAACTGTTGGCAAGTTTTTTGCTACAAATATACAAAACTTAGTTATTTTGTGGGTTAAAATAAGCGGCATGCCCAGGCTGAGCATGTGACTTTCATTTATAAAGTAATTTTTCTCTTCACCTTCCAAATACGGTAACTGCACAGAGTGCAACCCCATCATCAACTGTAAAAAGCCATATCGATTAAAATCAGTTGACTCAGCCGTCCTTATTGAGACCACATAGATAGTCTCGTGTCCCAACAGGAAGATGTTCTTGGCTCTGGGCTGCAGGGGAGCCATGTCCCATGCTAGGAGGCACAAGGAGTTCATCCGCCCTTTCACAGCCCCATAACAGACACTGCTGGACTATGGAAAGCTAGTGTCACACGTGAGATGCATGACACCGGGACACGGTGCACGTTTTTATGTTTCACCCACTGTGTGCAGTCAGTACGGGCACTGTACTGCACGTGTCACCTAGAACACATGCTTGCTTTGGCGGCACATGTCCTTATAGCATAACACACACAGCAAACTGCTTTTCAAACTTAAATATATTGCACTTTCCGTACCAGGATTAAACTTTTTCTCTTGTTCATTTATATAATAATAGCAGCTATTTTCCCATGATCTTGGATAGAGGGTTTAATTAGCTCAACTGAAAGTACGAAGTTTGCTTCCAACCCCGAGCAGGGTCGCCTTTCATGATTCAGGCTGTGCCTGCCTCAGGGACTGCAACGTGGTTCTCCCCAGGCTGCAGGAGGCCCCAGGGCTGTGGGCGCAGCAGGGCTGTCTTCCCTGTAAGGAGCCCAGATCTGCATTTTACTCTTTGGGATATAGGGCTACTACGGAGTGTTTTTCAGCCACGCATAACAAAGCAGGCGCGCACACACCCCTGCTTTCTCTCCCAGGGTGGGGCTGGAAGGCGAGTTGCTCTCTGCCCCTCACCATTAGTTTTTCCCACTGCAGTGAGCCTGTGTATGGAGTGTGACAGCCTTGTTCCCGGTGATTGTGAGTAGCAATCAGCTCTCGTGTACCCCATTACAAGGACATAGTCTCACTTTTAGAGAAAGACTAAGGTTCAAGTTTGGGGTTCCGGACCCATAATTGTGTCACTTTAAAAAAGAAGTATTAAGGCAAAGAAAATGTTTACATCAGTGTAATAGGCATCAGCTGTATTTCTCAAATCATTTTGTTTTAAAGTGGCTATAGAATTTGCAGTTGTGTATAAAATATAAACCATTCATCAGTGTGAAATGGTTATTTCCTTTCCATATTTCCTCCTATCAAAAGAAAAATACATTTGGTCTCTTAGCACAATACAATCCGTTTTGCTGTTATTTGCAGGTCTTGAGTGTGTTCGGCATTTCCGGGACAGAGGTTCAGAATAGTTGCAGGGGAACGTGAGGCGGAGGGGTGTCTCGGTCAGAGGTGAGCGCAGTGTGCCGCCTGTGAGCGCGTCCTTCCTAACGCTGTCCAGAAAGGGAGCCTCCCTGCTGTCCATTCATGTGCTCCCTCCCGCTCATTCAGAAGCCTGACGCTTCCTCCGCCTGGCAGGTGAAAGGGACGGCTGGGGCCGTTGCACGGTGTGCAGGCCGCTCCTTTGATCACGCTCGCCACGCACAAGCCAGAGTACTACGCACCCACCTGAAGACTAACCAGAAACTTGATCTCACCTTCTGCCTGACAAGGTGTTCAACTTAAGAGCTTAAAGCCTCGGGTGGCTTTTTTGTTTGTATCTTATTTTTAGTGTTGATCAGGGCGAGAAAGGAAATACGGAAACATTTTTTTAAAGCCCAAAAGAAAATATGTAAAACAATGAAGCACACAGAATGGTGCTTTTTCTTTCTTGATAATCTATAAATAAGTGTTGGGTTATGGTGTTGGCCCTTCAATTATAGGGCTTATCTCTAATTACATTAGACACTGTTTTCTTCCTTAGGAGAAAAGCAGTGTTTATTATTACAGGTGGCAGAACACCAAGGAGAAAAACAAGCAGAGGGTTACATTTACTCACTGCACATGGGTTTCATATTCACTTTTTGCTGTTGTCCCCAAGCCCAGAGGCTGTAAACCGAGCGGGTGAGCAGGCAAATTGCTGTTCTCAGGTGCAGAGACACAGATAGCTACAAGTGGCAGGTGCGGCATGGATGAAGAGATCAACTCATTCCTGGTGGTGCTCAGCCAGAGAAGGGCTTTGGAACACTGTTGTGCTACTGTTCAAATATTTATGCATCAGCCCCGGGAATGAATAGGCTTTGGTCACCTATGCAGGATTCCTTGTCCTGTTCCATCTTAAAAGTGTCCAGAGGCCTGGGAGAAGGGGTTTTTGCCCAGGGAAGAGCACCAGCTGCTCTCCTGGAGTTGCAGGTGCCCCCGCATGGGCTCAGCCAAGCCAACAGTGCAGCTGTCCTGCATTTGGCAAGAAGTCCTCTCAGGTTTCGTGGCTGTTTACTTTAGCAGAGGACTTGCTAGCCCGAGGATTAGAGTGTTTACTAGATGGACACCCCTCACTGGGTAGTCGTGGGAGGTCCCTGAACGCGAGCATGACAGTTCTCCAAGAAGCAAAAGGAAGGGAGCAGGCACTCCAGGTGTAGTTTGCCCTCCAGGTATCAGAGCCCGGTTCCGGCATACTCTAGCCTTATTATTTGTGCATCTGTGGACTTCAGTCTGCCAGAGTGCATTAAGACAGGAGAGAGACTGGAGGATTCGTGCCAGAGCTGTAGAGACTGCTGAGAGCTTGCCCGTGACATTGTCTGTGTGGGAGCCTTGGGCTGGGTTTCTCATTCCTGTTCTCTGGGTTGCAGGACCCCTCTGTCGAAACGGCTGTGACAGTGCTGGGGCAGCCACTCCTCCAGACTCAGGCTCGAGGTTCCTCCCTGAAGGTAGGGAGTTAGTGGGATGCACAGACTAGCCCTCTGGACCTATTCTGAGACTAAGACAAGCATCCAAACACAAGCCTCATAGTGCAATAAACGACTGAGAGAGAGAAAGGCTTTTCTGGGAGAAAGTGCTGAATGAGGTTCACTAACCTAAAAGATTTTACTTGGCTTTAAATAATTACTGTGTAAGCATTATGATACATCATTATATTTAACAGTCAACCCACTATTTATATGTCTTATTTAAACTTCCTTTAGAATACGTATGGTTCATATAAAGAAAATGCCAGGGTCATTTGGGGTTTGTATAAAATGATAATTTGTGAAGGCAAAACAGCTTTCAATTTCTTATTTTGGTTATGCTCTCTGTAAAAAGTCTAGGACCATCTGCAGACTGTCTGGCCCTCTCGGTGTGGCGGGTTCGAACATGACAGCCCCACGTGGGGCTGGGTCCAGAGCCAGCTGCTGGAACTGAGTGGGGGCTGCACTGCCTTGGGGACACTCGTGAAATGTCCCCCATCCCGAAGCCCTTTGCCGCTGAGCCCTGAGATTCTGAGAAACCCCGGTCTGCTTTATTTAATTTCCTCTCATTTACCAAGAGGCACAATCTATTTTCGTAAAGAAATTCAGGAAATTGGTAAAGCACTTGACTGCATCCATCATATATCAGTCATTAACGTGATTGTCACGTTTTCCTGGCTCCGCATGCCATGGCTCGCAGCCTCCCCGAGACCCCAAGACCCACTAGGAAGGTCCTGGCAGCAGTGTCTCTGAGCTCCAGCTCCTCACACAAAACAGCTGCGAGCTCTGCAGAGCAGCACACTCCCTCTGCTCACTAGCACAGACTCCCAGCTTCAGAGAGCTCAGCACCACTCAGAAACAGTGAGCCCTCTTCACTTTAGCCCGGAGAGAACCAAAGAAGTGGCCCTTCACTGCCCTGCCCAGACCCACTCACAGCTGAGCTGGTCTCGGGCTTCCGTCATTCCCTCCCCCAGAGAAGACCGGGCGCCTACCTTCATGAGCCACTGTGTGTTGTTCTCCAGCATGCTCTCCAGCACCTGCAGCCTCTGCGTGGAGTCGTCGTAGTCGAGGGGCGCGTCCCTCTGCACTGCATTGGACACGTAGGGGCTGGAGGCAGAGCGGCAGCTGTCCATCTCGGGCAGCAGAAACGTGTAGCTGCAGGGCCCGTGCTGGACCTGGTACTGCTTTCTCCCAGTGCTCTCCACACTCTTCCGAAAGTTATTGTAGGCTGCAGCCAACACAAGATCACAGCCCAAAGTAAAGAAAACAATCTGCCACATTCTCTCTCTCTTCGGGTTATAAACCACCGGCTCAGCAGACTTCCAGGCACATGTGAGTTCAGAGTCCTAACACACTGGACTGTGCTGCATGGCTGAGCCCATCGGTGAAAGCGTTCTTTTTCTTCCTTTCCTGGTAGCAGCCTTGCTTCCTAGAGCTGCCTTCTCTCCAGGCATGCAGTAAGCTGTCAGACTGCAGTGGAAAGAACAGCCCGGCTCGCTGGGGAGGGCCCTAGGGGCTCACAGAGCAGCTTTCATGTTCTTTGTTTCTCTTTCCCCAGGTTCTACCGTGTCAGTATCCGAATCAATCACTTTCCTTCCCTTATATGATAAGCTGATAAGCGCAGCCAGACATGTGTAGCTGCTGCCCCGCCTCCTGGCTTATCCCTTATCTTCCTCTAGGGGGTCACTAGCCCGGCAACAGGAAAAATGAGAGCAGCATGCTCACTGCCCAGCAGGACTGTGAGCTGCAGAAGCCCTCGGGAACACTGATCTGTTGCAGGCCCCTGGCATGGCCGAGCACCACCCTAATTGAGTGTTTCCTAGAGAGAGTGCCGGGCTCTCTTGCCATGTGAGGCTGGCACAGTATCTAAGGAGCAACTTTAATCTTCAAGTACAATGACAGTTCCTGTTTTTTCCTTTAGGAATAAAAATACTACAAATATGTGAGGACCTCAGTTTATTTTTGTTATTACGAATAAAGAGGAAGACATTTGGCTCTTGTAAACTGTGCCTTCTCAGAGGGAAATAGTTGCACTGGGATTGCCTGACTGTTGAACTGTTAGCTAAGTTACACAAGATTTTTCATTTAAACCAGTTTGCTATTATTAAATACAGTTGGAGGATCAGTTTCTGAGCTGACAGTTATTCTTTATTTAAAAAATCCACTGAAGGGCCGGGGATTTAGCTCAGTGGTTCTACCGCCTGCCTTGCAAGCGCAAGGACCCTAGTTCGATCCCTGGTCACAAAAAAACAAAACAAAAAATCCACTGAAGTATTTAAAATACATGAAGTATACTTGTCTGATTAATGGTGTATTGAGTTAAAATAGAGAAATCAGAATTTGAACAAAGTGTACTGAGAGAGCAGCGTATAACCTTCTCCTTACTGTACTGGGCTTGCTGGGATCTCACTTTGTAGCCTACTATCAAAATCAAGAGGCAAACCTCTTTCCCCTTTTGCTGACCTGCAGTGACCTGGTCTCAGTTTCAGGGGCTGCTCTCATTGCCAGGGCTTTTCTGTTTCATGCTACCGCTCTGTAAGACCTGAAGTTGCTTTCCTGAATAACACTCACACTGGGGACCCTGAGCACCACCAACCCCTCACCCCTCCGCCACGGGGTGCTGGGCCTCGCCGCCGTGCTGTCCGCGTCTGCGGGGCACACAGCACCCAGGGAGACTACCTGTGCAGGACCGGGGTGCAGGGTAAGGAATTAGGGTTTAATTCCTACGTGCATCTGGAATTTGTACAGTAAATTTTGTTTTCCTAGAATCTGTTTTCAGGAAACCTAATGATGTAATTTTGTATTTTTTAAGCTGCACCCTGTGAATGGACCAATTCCCAGGTAACCTCAGATCAGAGATTCTAAGCCCGAGTGAGATTTGTGGGCAGAACTCACCAGGGTCGGTGCCCGTGCTCTGACTGAAATACAGACTACCTGCCTTCCTTTCCTTCCTTCCTTCCTTCCCTCCTTCCCTCCTTCCCTCCTTCCCTCCTTCCCTCCTTCCCTCCTTCCCTCCTTCCCTCCTTCCCTCCTTCCCTCCCTCCTCTGTGAAGCCAGCAGACAGCAGTTGGCAGTCTGAGGCCTTCGTGCCATGTGGATCGTAGGCGTCTTACCACAGACATCTCAGGGTGTCACTGCACAGCAGTGGCCTGTTTGGTCGGCCTGGACCCCCATGCTGAGGGAATAAGGTGGTGCTTGTCAACTTCTGAGAAGGGTCTGGGGTCTCCATGGACCAGCAGAGAGTCCTGCAGCTCAAAAAGCTGGAACTTGTGCAGTGGGGGGCACTAGGAGGAGAGAGTTTGTTCCACTGAGATACGGTGCACGGTTTCCACTCAGGACAAAGTGAGAAGACTCAGGGGTGGGGGCAGGTTTCAAAGAGGACGGTGGCCGGCAGCAAGCTTTCCGCTTTGCTCAGCCTCAGTTTCCCTCACTGTAAAATGGTGACTGTTCTTCCCATAGATTTTCATAGTGAGGTGAGGGATAACAGTACATGCAACTTAGGAGTACTCATTCCCTGTCCTTCTAGTCACTTTTCCTGGATGGAAACCAGTTCTTCCACCATCGAGTAGAGTGTTATTCTCTGACTCAATATGAAGCAGTAGCATGAAGTGCACACTTCCTCTTCTAAGTTTAGCCTTTCTTTAAGGAAGCATATTATAAAGTATTGATACCGCACATGTGGTTTGAAGAAGCATTCAGATGTCTTCCAGCCAAACAAAATAAGAAAGGGAAGAGGAGAGATGCTGAGGGATGCCCACCCGCCGGCTGCTTTCATGTCAGACACTGCAGGGTGCAGGGGTGGAGATCGCCTCAGGGTGTCGGGAGGGAGACCCCTGGCCAGACGGCACACCTGGGAGAAGGTACCTAGCTGCCGGGTCACCAGGCCTGCATGCCACTGTCATGGCCCGCTCCTCAGCTGTCCCCTCTGGATCCAAACGTGGAAGGAGCAGCTCTTTGTAGATTCCAAAGTGGGGATTACTGGACCGGGAGGGTCGGGATGCTGTGCTCAGACCCGCAGGCAGCATGCGTTTTTGCAGAGGCCGGACAGTGGGTTTCAGCTCTGAAGCCATCCTGTCTGCCACTGCTGTCCAGCAGCACGGCTGTCACACCTCATTAGCCACGACCAGCTCTGGACAAGCGAGCGTGGCGGGGCCGGGGCAGCTTAACTCTCAGGCACTGACCCTGGAGTCCCTTGTCATTTTCACACTCACGGATCGCTGCTCCTCCAGGCTTCTCCACTTAAGATCGAGAGCATTCATTGCTCATCGACTGAAACAGGTTATGGGCTGTCGTTTGCTGACTGTGAGTTAGAGCTCAGGGGAGTCACGGGGGTCAGGACACGGCCTGTAAAGCCACTGTGCCGTGCCCAGCTAGGGAACATGGCAGCCTCTGCTCCGCTCACAGCATCCCCCCCGATGCAGCCAGTGTGACATGTGCTGGGGAGGCGCTTGTGAAAGGCCCACAGAGAAGCACGGCTTTAGAATGCAACATGAGAACAATGCACTAGACAAATGGCACCAGCGTGGAGCAGAACATGGCCTTGGGGCAGGCAGGGAGACCCTGGGCTACCTGTTCAGACAGAGCCGCCACCAGCTGTAGCACATGACTGAACAGTGGTGACCCCACCAGGCCAGGTACACCTGCTGCAGTTGCCCGGGCAATGCCAGTGCAGCTGGGATCCCTCCACTCTTGAAGGAGGCTTCATTCACAGCCATCTCTGGGCTGTTCATTTTTCCACAATCTTGGGCTTTCCTCCATGGCTCGCTGATAGGACAGCTAAGGCAGATGAAGATATAAAATGAGAAATATTATTACAGGCTTCCCAAGAGCCACTGCCTGCCATCCAACTGGTTTCTATTTTCTTAGCAGCTCTGTCAACAGCTGACACAGTGCCATTTGTTTCCTTCTCCCCTTGCTATACGGCGCTGCCTGAGAGTGCAGAGGCTCTGTGTGTGCTCTGCAGAACTGACTCAGATTCTCTCCAAGCTCCGTGATAGCACCAGAACGACCCCGCTATTCCTCCCCAGAAGAAGGAGGTCGGCCTGCCCTTCGCCTTGATGTCTGGCTGAGGCCCTAGCACGTGGTCCCAGCTGGGCACTGTCCTGCAGGCTCAGCCTCCCCAAGCCCTGCAAGTGTAGGCTGATGGCACCGATCAGCTGCCACCTGGGTCATGGAGTGAGAGCTGTCACAGCCTCAAGGCCCCAGTCCCCCAGAGCAGCCTGCACAGTTCTCTCAGATGTTTGTTCATTTGATGGCATCACAAGGAGCAGAAGCTAACAAAGGACATACACTGCAGATGGGCACGAAGCAGGCATCGGTGAGTGGGCCCACGTGGCCAGGCCACCACCTGTGTGCCTCGTTGTCATGGTCAGCTCTGCCCTTGGCCAGGTCGGCTTAGCCGGGGAGAAGGCTCGGCTCCAGAGCCTGCGCCCCGGGTGCACTTTGTGGAAGGGCAGAGCGAAGGTGCCTGCCATCTGCTCAGGCTCGAGTTTCCATGGGGCCAGGCAGCTCCTGAGCCAGCGTCCCGTCCACACCCTTGGCCCACAGAGCCGAAGGCCACTCTCCTCACGTCATCGCTGCCTGCAGGCCTCAGGGTGGCGACGGCACAGACATTTTCGGCCCAGCATGGCCTCCATATTTGGAAAGCGCCGTGTTGGTATATGAGAAACTCTCAGGGCTGAATTACCCTGGACGTGACGCTGGGACTGTTCTGCAGACAGATGGGCACACTCGGGACTCTCTGGCGCCAGGCACTCTGGAGCTGAAAGGAAATTGAGAGACATCTTGGCCATGTCTCCTCCCCACCCCTGGCGTCCTTAACACTGGTGAAATAAAGTCTGTCGATGTGTTTATATGTGAACGGAATGCCCAGTGTGCAGGGAGACCCTTAGAGAGCTCACCGCACGTGAAACTGTTGTCAGAGGAAAAGTGGCTTTTACTGCTCCCTCCCCTCAATCGTGTGCAGTAATTAACGAGAACTAAAGGAGCAACCACTGGGGAGGGGGGGACAGAGAGAGAGAGAGAGAGAGACAGAGAGAGAGGAGGATTTTGGCCTTCCAGAACCCGACCCTCAGGAGCAATCTCTCTGGTCTGCGAGTCTGCCCCGTTTCCAGGTGTGGAGCTGGATCTGAAGGACACAGAAGCCAGTGCAGCCAGCCGCACATGCAGATGAGTGGCCGGTCCACCCCTGAGCTGCTCATGGCGGTGAGTGGTGTGAAAGATAATCCCCAGCTGTGGGCTTTGAGAAAAGTCCGGGAGGAAAGCCCCTTGGAGTTACCGTGGAGACAGAAGAAAACCTCAGCAGGCACACCTGTCTGCAGATGTATCTGACAGCCCCTGCCCAGCTCGCCAGTGAGGAGACCGAGGCTGGGGTGGGGGTGAGAAGACAGAACCCCAGCACCCATGACCCTTCCTTACCCAGTGGCGACGGCTCAGGAGAGCTTAAAGCAACAGTGTGCGCGCTGACTTCAGCATGGCCACCCCGGCCCGTCACCCCCATGCGGCACAGACACGCACTGAGTGACAGATCCACTTGCTGCCAGAGCCTGCGTGGCCTCTGGTCACCCGAGCTGGAGCTTCAGGTCACCACACATGTGTCAGTGTCACAGACCTGTGCCCCTGCGTGCAGGGAAAGTCCTCAGTCAGTGCACACGGGTGCATGGCGCAGCAGCCAAAGCTCATCGTCCCGGGAGCCTGGGCCCAGCACAGTCTGAACGCATCACAGACGCTTTCTGAGCACAGCCATTTGCGCGTTCGCTTTGCCGCATTAGCAATCCTGCCTTGCTTCACCCATCTCTTCAGCTCATCCTCTAGGTAACGGGGAGCTGAAGCACCTTCTGGAATAGCAGCAGCCTCTGAAATGAAGCGATGATGCCTACTTGAGGGCAGTTTTGTGCTTTCACGTAAACATGCAGCGTCTGACATAAAGCAGCTGCCCCGCTGTATTTGGAGCACAAGGTAAGAGTCATCCTCTTGGAATGGGCACTGGCTCCGTATGATTCGCCTTTCTGAGCCTTGAGGAAATGCACATTTTGTTAAGATCGGCACCGGGCTGCCGAGGGAGGAGAAAGCCTCTGCCAGCTGTGTTTCTGGCCGTCTTTCCGCATCACCAGCGGGTTTTCATCCTCCGTAGCTGGAGAAGAGCCACAGCTACAGACGATGCCCCGATGGAGGCACCTTGCCCC